AGTTGAACACTAACGAAAGGTCAGTGTCGATATTTGACGGTGCCTGGGGGCGGGTTTGGGCTTCTGGGCCTGGCGAGGAGGCACTGGCCGTGAGGCGGCCGCGCTGACTATCGCCGGGGGCTTAACCCATGCGTTGGGATTAGGTGCTGATGGCACCGGAAGGCTTGAGCCTTGCCCGGAAGTCCCTTTAACGGGGGCGGGCTTGGCTGTAGCCTGAGCGGGCGCGGGTTGCGGTACCGAGATTGGTGCGACCGATGGGGCAGAATGCCGCGGGCGCGACCTACTGGGGTTGCCCGCACATCCGCGACGATATTGCTCCTCCATTCTGCTTCCTACGCGGCGCTTTGGAACACCCGCGATAGCTCGCTGGGTGTCCCTCTTCGCCGCACAGAACATAGCTCGGAGGGCCCTCCGTCTCGGGCGTTCGAGGGCACTCGGTAGTACCATGATCGCCTAGGCACTTGACGCACCTAGGCCGGGCGAAACAATTCCTGGCCGAGTGGCCGTATAATTGGCATCGGTGGCATTGTCCAAAGATGCCCCTATTACGCGAGGATTCTACAACAATTCCCGTGAGATTGCATATCCTAATGATGTTGTATATTTCTTTGCCCTCTGGAGACAGGTCCAGTATGACAAGACAAAGATCGAGATAACGTTTCTTATCGGTTGGGTGGTGCATCCTGTGCACTTCTCTGACTGGCAGGTTTTGCGATTTAAGATCGCTTAGTATGAACTCTGTTTCTAGCTCCATAGGGAGTACGCGAACTACAACACGGAGGTTACGGTACTCCGCGAGAGAGTAAGTATGGAAGCTCAGATTCTGAGCTTTAAGGTGCGCAGTTAAAGCGCGGAAATCGTTCGTCGTTGCGACGTGGATACGGATGTCCTGTGGTCCATTGTGGACTTTGGGGCAGGATCACCTCTGTACCTAACCAATTTATGTCAAAACTTGTTGCCGTAAAGCGCACGGGATTAGCGCCGGACTCTGCCCAACGCTCCCCTGCCACACCTGACATGTTATTGCATCATCTAATACTGAGAAATTTGCCGGCACATGCTTATGTTTTGACTATTTTTGTGAGAAAAAAAGTATTTCGTTGTATTATTCTTAGTAAAAATTGAAAATTATTTGATAAAAATGAGTGGCAGGAGATCTACTATTTGGACTTATTTTAGAGAAACTGACGACCAAAGTAAAGTGAAATGTATTAATGTAATGTAATGTTTCTTTGTTTGATTCCAAAAACATTTTATCAAGCTTTCTATTATTGGAATTAAACCTACAGTGTCTTAAAAACATAACGTACAAGTTGATTTAATGTACAAATAAAATATACCTTCAACAGTAGAATTATGAAAGATATAGCATTACTCAATACGTACATTCCACTTTGAGTACTACTTTAACGAATTTTCGGTGATTTAGCCGAATATACGGCTGAATACGAATATTCGGTAAAGCAGCCAAATATGTCGAATACCGAATATGAAACGAATATTCGGCCCATCTCTAGTAATTATGTAGGAGCTTGGTAATTCCCCGGTTAAGCCGACACATTCGTGGTACGAATTATGCATTCTAATGGGTGAATTCTTAAAAAATATAATTATTCAATAAAAATAAAACTATATAGAAGAAAATCTCACAGTTTAACTCAAGTTTTATTAAATTATTTTTTTATCAGAAGACTAATTCAAGTCATCATCATCATCATTACAGCCCTTCACAAGTCCACTGATGAACATAGGCCTCTCCCAAGTAATGCCACAAAGCACGGTCCTGAGCCACCTGCATCCATCGACTTCATGCATGTCTTTCCACCAGGTCGTCACTCCGTGCCGTGTAGTGGCGGTTGAGAATATCCACTACCCCATATCTTCCCGTGAGTGTCGTAAGAGGCGACAGAGGGACACAGAAAGGAGATGGGCAGCAGCATCTTCCTAATAACAACAATAACATAATAAAAAACTGCGGTTGCCAACCCGCTCGCCAAGCTTGGCAACTATGGCAAATATCGCCCCATGAGCAACGACGCAAATAAACGGCCCCCAGTCCCCGGCGGCCCCGCTATACCTGGCTACGGTGGCGACCATGGTAACGGCGGGGCAGGGGATGCTAAGAATCTCCGGTGGAGGTTCGGTTGCCACCTACGACGACTCGACCTGGCAACGTATAACGCACGCACCCTGAGGACTGACGAGAAGATACTGGAGCTGGAAGAAGAGGTAGACAAGTTGCGCTGGCATATTATTGGATTATCTGAGGTCCGAAGAGAGGGGGAGGACACGGTAATCCTCGAGTCCGGCAACTTGTTCTATCATCGGGAGGGCGACCATCTGTCCCAAGGAGGTGTCGGATTTATCGTCCACAAGTCTCTCGTCAACAACGTTGTAAAGATTGGGAGTGTGTCAACGAGGGTCGCGTACCTGATACTTAGAATCACCAAACGGTATTCGCTGAAGATTATACAGGTCTACGCACCAACCTCGGCACATCCCGATGAGGAGGTGGAGGAAATGTAAGAGGATATTTCTAGAGTCATGCATTCCTCCAAAACCCACTACACGGTGTTGATGGGAGACTTCAACGCAAAACTAGGCACAAGAGAAGGCGGTGAGCTGAAGTTAGGGAAATTTGGAGTAGGGCAACGGAACCATAGGGGCCAGCAGCTGGCTGACTTTATGGAGAAAGAGGGACTCTTTATGATGAACTCTTTCTTCCAGAAGCGGCCCCACAGGAAGTGGACCTGGTCGAGCCCCGACGGTTCGACAAAAAATGAGATTGACTTTATTATGACGACCAGACGCCAACTGTTCAGTGATGTCTCAGTGATCGCAAGGGTGAAAACCGGCAGCGATCACCGAATGGTTAGAGGCACACTGAACCTAAACGTTAAGTTGGAGAGGTCTCGTCTAATGAAGTCAACGCTCCGTCCCCCTCGTGCTCTAATCCAGAATCCCAAGACTTTTCAGCTCGAGTTACGTAACCGCTTTCAGTGCCTAGAAGATTGAAATGCTGTGGACAATATGAATGACAAGCTCGTGGAAACTGTCCATGCGGTCGGAGCTGAATTCTGCAAGACCCGCCGCAGAAGAACACAAAAACTCTCCGATCACACTCTTAATCTCATGGCTTTTAGACGGGAGGTGAGGCTGCAATCGTCAACAGATTTGACAGCATACAGGCAACTGAACAGACAGATCTCCAAATGCATGCGGCGAGACTTACGCAACTTTAATACTACTCGTATTAAAGAAGCGATCGAGCGGAACCAGGGCTCCAAAGTCTTTGCCAGAGATCTGTCTGCCAGAAAGAGCACGCGTGAGTAACGATCCAAAAGCAAGTCTTACCCGACACTATTCCGATGATATCCCGGACGTCAGTCTGGTAGAATGGCTCTCCAGCACCTTAAAAACGGCAGGGCCCCAGGCGAGGATGGAACTACAGCGGAGCTTCTGAAAGCCGGTGGAACGCCGGTACTTGAAGTCCTTCAGAAGCTCTTCAATTCCGTCCTCCATGGTGGCACTACTCCGGAGGCGTGGAGCAGAAGTGCGGTGGTCTTGTTCTTTAAGAAAGGCGACAACGCTCTCTTGAAGAACTACAGACCGATTTCCCTTCTGAGCCGCGTCTACGTGCTGTTTTCGAGAGTCATTACGAATCGTCTCGCACGCAGACTCGATGACTTCTAGCCGAGCAAGCGGGTTTCCGAAAAGGCTTCAGTACCTTAGACCACATACATACGCTGCGGCAGATTGTACAGAATACCGAAGAGTACAATCTGCCACTTTGCCTGGCGTATGTGGACTATGAAAAAGCCTTTAATTCCGTCGAAATTTGGGCGGTGCTACAGTCCCTTCAGCGGTGCCAAGTTGACTGTCGAAATATCGAAGTGCTGAAGTGTTTGTACAGTAGGGCTACGATGGCTATCCGAGTACAGAACCAGAGTTCGAAACCTATCCAACTGCAGAGAGGTGTAAGACAGGGTGACGTTATATCCCCGAAAGTCTTCAGCGCTGCGTTGGAAGACGTTTTCAAGCTACTGGACCGGAACATAACATGGATACGGTATTAACATCAATGGCGAGTACATCACTCACCTTCGATTTGCCGACGATATTCTTGTGGCAGAATCGCTGAGGACCTTAGCACTATGCTCAATGACCTCAATGGTGTCTCCCAACGGATAGATCTTAAGATAAACATGGACAAAACAAATATCACGTTTAATTTCCATGTCACACCTATGCCGGTAGTTGTTGGGAGCACTATGCTCGAAGTTGTTGACGAGTACGTTTACGTGGGACAAATAGTCGGACCAGGTAAGTCCAACTTCGACCGAGAGGTCAATCGGCGGATTCAACTCTGCTGGGCAGCGTTCAGGAAATTAAGACACATCTTCTCGTGAGGTATACCTCAATCTCTGAAAACTAAAGTGTACAACCTATGCGTGTTGCCAGTGATGACTTACGGATCAGAGACGTGGTCCTTCACGCTCAAAGTCGCTCAGCGAGCTATGGAGAGGGCTATGCTCGGAGTTTCTCTGATTGATAGACTCAGAAATGAGGATATCCGCAGTAAAACCGGAGTGACCGACATAGCTCAACGGATTAGTAAGCTGAAGTGACTATGGGCCTGCCATATAGCTCGAAGAACCGATAACCGATGGGGAAGAGGGGAAGGTTCTCGAGTGGCAGCCTCGTAACGGTAGGCGTAGTGTGGGGCGACCCCCCCCCATTAGATGGAGTAATTCAAGTAATACATCTAAATTAATAAATATAATATAATATTCAAATAAAAAATGAAAAAATATATTTAATTAAAAATATTCATTTTTTTGTCCATATTGTAAACGCAGCTGTATGTTTCGTATCTATTTGATCTGGCTTTTGTAATTGCAGTGTCTCGTACTGACGATGACTAGATATAAATTTTTCATTCGGGACAACACGACACTCCATCTTGCATGTTTTTAATAATTATAAGCAGTCTTTAAAAAATGGTTCACTATGCTTATGGCTCCTCCTATTTCGACACAAAATCCAATCATAAAGAAAACAGGAATAGTGAATCAAGGCTTAAGTTCTGTGCCAGCAAATTTGTGGATTTCTGCAAGAGAACCGATCTTCACGGCTTCAAGTATATTGTAATGGATGAATTGAACAGGATTGAGAGGTGTGTATTATTTTACTTTGAAAAGTTTTTGGTGTGGGGAATGCCACGAGGCACGGTTTTAAGACATTAAAACTGTGCCTCGTGGCATTCCCTGAGGGTGGCCTTTGTTCGGTAGTGGTCTTGTGTAGGGCTTTAATCATGACGATTTCTTGAATCCTGTACAATGTATTGTTAGCGAGCAAACACGTAAACGCCGTGTAGTTCCGACGGCGTAAGAGAATTCACTATTCCACATCATACTGTGGATGTCGTAAGAAGTGACGGAGAGAAACAGAAACAGGATATGGGTTTTAGCATTTTCCTGAAAACAATTCAAAATAATGTGAAGAATCGACCCTCCGGGAAGTCTGCAGTCTGTGAACACGTACAGGATCGCCCCCGTCACTACATCAGATTTAATAGACCACAAATCCTCGCTAAAGAACACCGACTCCTTTCAAGGATGATTCGCGAGGCTATTGAAATCAAAAAACATCCTAATTTCAACAGAGAAGATGGCTGGGTGCTACCATCTGCTTGGGATCCTATAATAAATAAAATTAAATCCCAACCCAAGCGTACAACTGCAAGACTTCATGATACCATAAGTTCATACTGTGTAGATCGGAACAAAAGTTAAATTTTAATCTATGGTAACCGCGGTTAACTATGACATCTGGACGTTGAACATCTCAGTCCTTCCCGTAACCATGGGTGCTGTAAAGCTCTCGAAACGTCGGGTATTTAAAAAGTTAATTCCGTAAAAACTAGTATTATTTCAATGTGTAGTGTTCGCGTAAATATAAGAAATCATAATTCAAAATAATAAAAGACTGCTGTTGCCGACCCTCCTATCTAGAGCGCAACTGTGGCAAATGTTCCCCTACGAGGCAATTTGTGAGGTGGATGGTCTATGTTCAGCAGTTGTCTTCAATAGGCCGTAATAATAATAATAATAAGGAAACATGTATGAATAGAATTGAATAGATTTTTTATTCAATACAAATTTCGTAAAAAAGACTCATGACACTACAAATTTCATCAAAAAGTCATTCTTATGTTCAATTTACCACCATTTCGGGGCAGGATGTTTTTTGATATGTTACACAATTTACAATACAAATCGTATTAGAAATAGATGGTTGGATATAGCGAACAATAATGTAAGTCAACAACGTGAGTTCTAAGTCACAACGGCCATAGCTGCACTGCGCTTGGCAGTCGTGACTCGTTGTTTTGTGGTACTGTCAAACGTCTGCCACTTATCGGTCATCAACACAGAAATAGTAATAATAAGACAATAGAAATGAATTAGCGCTAGATTACTTCTAAAACCGATGTCACCACATCTTAACACATATGCATTAAGCGACCGATGCATGCAGCCGTATTATAAACATAAGCAATGCACAATGATCTAATATAATCTTTCACATTACATTGCTTGATAAGTTTTTTTAACGTCGCGTGCGTCGCGTATAACGGTAGAACAGAAGCAGCAATGGTAATTGTACAATACGAAAAGTAATAAAGTTTCCAAAGGTAAATATCATAGTAAAGTATTCATCTAGACGTAAATTAGTTAAAACAATGATAATTCGTAAATAATCATCTTACCGATGAAATGTTTTGCCTTTATTAGTTGTATTACACGTCCTTGATGAGTTTTTACAACTGATTATGTTGCAGTTCTCCGTTATAATAACAAAAATTCATGTAAGACGTTCCCCGCGCAATTAAATCACAAAATGATGAATGATGTTCGTCGACACATCATAGCGGCGACAAGGTCACGCGCGTATGCGACTTCTATTGTCTTAATATTACGATTTCTGTGGTCATCAAAGCTGTAGCCGTAAGGAAGAAGTCACAAATTTTACAGATTTTATCGCGTTGTAAAATTAGTTTAATGCTATATGTAGTATGAGCGTAAATATTAGAAATCAGGAAGACACTCCACAATTTCTTTACCAAATTGTATTGTAAATTGTACCGTTAATACTATTTTTAATCAAAAAACTAACTTTTAATCAAAAGTAAAAGCCGACTTCAAGGAACTCAAAATAAAAATTTTATTTCACATTCTTAAATCAGGGCTTTCATTCAACTTTACACTTTTCTTTGCACCGACTTCAGAATGTGAAATATTATATTCTTTATAGTTCTTTGAAGTCGGCTTTAACTTTTTATCAAAAGTTAATTTTTGAAGTGAAACTTCTTTATCGACGTAGTTAATAAATTTAGTACGATATTAAAAGTCAAAAACGTCGCGTTTTCTTGTAATGTTTCCAACATGAGACCGATGAACGGTACGTCATACTACTGCTGCTCTAAAGCACTAATGATATTAATAAATACTTATTACTACTCACATATCTGCAGTCAACATACTGTCGGGTCTACTGCAATCACTTCTACACATTCCACAAGCCCTTAAACACAGGAAACATTTAAAGCTCTTCTGATAACATTCAAACACCCAGGGAAATTACATGCAAACATGTTTGCATACATGATACTAAAAGATATAAAATACATTATCATAGATTATATTTAAGAATACCTACCTATAATTGAGCGAACACTAAAAAATATGCAACAAGATTGTGAATAACTTCTTGCTTCTTTCATAATCTTAAGTATGACGCATTTAATAATCTCCTTATAGATATCCGTGATTGGCTTGTGTGCCACAAAAGAATATAGCACGACATTATCCTTTTGAAAAATATTTTTGGTAACGAACGAAAGTGTCTAATGGGATAAAAAGAAGTGCTTGCCTGTAGTAAATTCAATAAGAGAAGGACAATTTTCCTGGAAAAACTATGAATAAAAAATTGAAAATACAAGTGTCTTTATCATGAGTATATTATTAGATATTTTATTATATAGAGTATATATTAGTCTATGGGTCCCAGTAACAACTTACCATCTGGTGGACCGTGTTCTCGCGTGTCTAAATTAGTTTCAAATTGCCAAATTCTTGGTAAGCAATTGTTCTCCCGTATATCGTACCATATTTGGTCAATATCCCATTATCAGATCTTGACCAAATATGGTACGTTGAAACAAAAAAGAAATAATAAGATCAGAAAACGAAAAGAATAATAGCTGAAAATACACAAAAAATATTCTTACGAATTAAGAATCATCACCATTCTTGAAGTCAATACAATTTCCGTGTGGTGATGGTTAAGAGAATCCATCACCACATTCCGTCCTGTGGGAGTAGTAAGAAACGACTATAGGATATACCAGAAAGATATAATGTTTCCTCATAGATAGTGCGATAGCTATTACATCTACGTCAGACGGATAATGCTCTGATCAGGGCCGCATATAAACGTCAAGCCAAGCGTGACAACAACGTGTCTCCTGTTCTCTACACTCACCATACGAAACACACCAGCATTAAGCCACTATTTTACGCTGGTATTCTGTGAGAGCGTGGTCCTTCCCCGGTCGAGCCGAACCGTTCGTGCTACAACTATACTACTAATGTAACTGCAGCATGGCTCTACCACGTATAATACTTGGACGATTTCGTATTTGCACACAAATTGAAAGACTAAATACAGTGTGAAACGTATACAATAAAAACGGTAACTTTAATTCTACTACTTTACACGTCGGAGCGGGACGCCTTACCTTTGTACGTTGGTAACACTGCTTCCCTTAGTAGCGCAATGGAGCTTTTATCGCTTTACCTGAAATGGCCATACCATTGCAAGCTATAATAGCCCACTGCTGAACATAGGCCACCGTCGTAGATTGCGTCCCACTTGCTGCACCTGGCAAGTGGGCTGGCAGCCACAGGCTTTTATTATTTCCAGTTGTTGTCAGGAAGACTCTACTGCCCATCACCAGTTTCATTTTGCTGTCGCATTTTATGACACCAACGGGACGATAAAGTGTACTGGATTCCATACACCGCCACTACACGATTTCAATTAACATAAATTCAAAGATATGACAGAAAAACATACGATAAAATGTAAATGTACGCATGAAAGTTTAACAGGCGTTAGATTAGGTTCATTCGAGAAGATCACAGTTAAAGTTAAAAGTTAAAGTTACAACCTACATATATACGTCCCACTAGTGCTAGGCACAGGCCTCGACTTATATCTGAGAGAGATTTTCATTTAAAACGATGTATCTTAACTGTGAATATTTGTGCGCTTTGAATTAAAATTTGGTTTAAGGGAACAATTAAGTTTACAACGGTTACAATCAGCATTACGGGACACCGTTCCATCACGCACAGCAATTTTTAGGTGGTTTGGTGAATTCAAAAGGGGTAAAATAACCTTAAAGGTGACCAAAGAACCGGGGCTCCGCAAACAGCAGTAACGGCAGAAAATATATGGACTACTGAAATGTTGGTGCGAGAAGACCCACGAATCACATATACGGTCGGCGTATTATCGTCGATGGTGTGTCTTTCCTGAAATATTGGTGTTGTCAGTAATGATGCCGGGAGTAGTGGTGTTGGGAGTAGTGGTGCTGGGATTAGTGGTGACGGGATTGGTGCACGCAATTGAGGGAGGGCAGGAGGTGCTCTTCAATCCAGGTAAGACACATCTTTGTATTTATTTAGCGGAAGTTTGCAAATTAATTAATATCTTTATTATAATGGATTTCCGCAAAGTAACGCCTGATTCTATCACCTTTTGCATATCTCTAAACTTGTTGAGTGTCCTACGTATTAGTGTATGTTTGTAAAGTTTAATCATTTCCCAGAGAGTTTTTATTATTTCCCCAGAATTCATAATAGAAAGGCATGTGGGATCCTACTAATTAGGCTGGAGAGCTCTTCCGGTCCAATGAATTACACTGAAGAGCCAGCTGGTCACCTCGAAATCGCACCCATCACTGAGATACTAAAATACTTGACATTAACTTTAACATTAACTGTAACGAATTTTGTTCTAGCCTACTACTGAAACTATAGCAAGTAAAGCTAACGTGTTTACCATTTTTGTTGTGTTCATGTATCAACGTACCATATTCATGTTTGTTTTGTTGTATATTGTGTCATAATATGTGTGAATGAATTTTGTTAACTACAGTTGAAGTACCCAAAAAACAAACCAAATCTAATTTCAAATACTTTATTGTAATATAAAAATTACAATATTAATACGTGGATGTCAATGCTCACGTTCTACTAAGTTGCGCCTTGCGCCGCTGCAATGTATCGGGGTCGCTACTGTATAGGCTCTGCATATGAGGTTATGTTGTAATTTGTGTGTAAGATCACTTTGACATGTAACGCTTACTGCGTAATATATAAATCAATGGCGTTACATGTCAATATGATGTTACAATAACAGAATGACGTTGAACATAGCTTATATCAACAAACTATATCTTATTTATATTATACATGAATTATGTATATTGTACGTGTTTATATTAAATTCTTTTATTCGTAATTCTGATAACGTAAATTTTTCGTTCGCTATAAATCTTTAAATATTTACTATATGCGTGTACATACCACCTTAACAGTTTTAATCTCACATCCATCACCCTAATATCCCGTAGCATCGTTAGAGCTGAGTAAAGGGAAAGTCCAATATGTGGCAGTTATTCGGAATTAAAGTTTAGTTCTTGAGTCCGAAGAGTATATAATCACCACATTAATATATATGTATTACGAAAGGTAGGAGAACAGAAAAATGTTTTTATAAGTTACAAATAGCTTTTTTGTTTCTATAAGTTAGAAATAGCCACCAATAGGATTAGGTATCCGTTTCATTCATTTTATATAGTTGTTGCGCCAGCGTGGTTGGGACTGCACCTCTTAAAATTTCACCCAGCCCTGCGAGCTGAAATCACAACGGAATTGCACACAATAATACCGTGCTCTGCGACTTGTTGCTTTCAACAACTACAGTCCGAAGAGTCCGAGGAGTCCTTTTGCAACAAGAAGAATGCGGTGCTCAATGTCACGGGGCTCCAGAAAGAGATATGGTAAAAAGATGGCGTAATAAATCCTATTTATAGGTACTAAAGTGAACCGACAACGGTGGCATCAAAAGTGCAAGATATCTTGCACTATTTAACGGTGATTGAGATGGTTATGGGAGAGCAGATTGTGCAGTAAACTCCACACGGGCTGGTTAACGTTCGAGTTATGTTTTAATAACAACTCATTAAACTTAATTATTTACTTTATTCTTAGAGGCTGTTGGGCGTTTGCTATATTTATAAGCATCATATGCGCCGTATTTTTCGTCATGACTGCTTATAAATGGTACGCCAGGAACCCAATTGTTACGGTAAGTACACATTACAATTAGTGTTTATATTTGCTCAAAATATAAAAAATTGGACGTATTTTATCGGCTATTCGGTAATAAGTAGATAACCTTGAAGTGATTTAAAGCATAACTAAGTGCATTCGAAACAATAAAAAAAGATACAGATTATATATAATTATATCTGACTTTTTTGAAAAGGCTAAATTTATTACCGCACTTTACAGTTATATACACCATGAAAACAAAATGAATAAATTCCATCGTTTTTTTTTTGTTGTTATCATATTGTACGTTAACTGTGCTGATATTGGCAGTAGATACATTTTTGACAATTTTTAATATTTAAGAATATATAAAGTTGTATGAAAACGTTACCGATAGAGCCTATTAAAGTCCTCTGCTGAACATAGAGCTCCTCCTAGACTGCATCATAGGGAGGAGGGGGGGGGGGTATTTGACATAGTAGCTGCAGTTTTTTATTTTTAGTAATTATTAGGAAGATGCTGCTGTCTTAGTGATTTGTTTCTGTCTGTCGAAACATGGTTAATTAAGTATTTATTTAAAGCGTTGTGCTTATTAAGTATATTAGTACTGTTTTGAAATCTACTAAGATCATATATTGAGCATATACCTTAGAAAAATTCGAAAATCATTATTTACCATCGGTTCAAAAATAAAAGTATCTTATATTAAAACTGGTAAGAAATTACGGGATCGTTTCATTTTCTTCAACATTATGTAATATTGTTGTAAAGACAGTTATTATTAGCTACACAGATACATACGAATTAAGACAAACGGAACTTGTTCTGAAGGAATATTACTATTGTCTTTTTTAACCTGTAAGAATCCACCGTTGGGCATGGGCATCTTGTGAATTAAATTCTAAACTTCGGTTATCCACTGACCTGTCAAAAAGTTAGATGTCAAAGTAAATTGAAAATAAATTCCCGCAAGGGAATTGTCGCGCTCCCGCCGCGGGCATATATTTCGTTTTAATTAATTTACACGTATTATAACGCTACGTATTTTTACCATTTTTGATATTCTAGGTCATAGAGAGCACACAAGGTGCAATCTGGGATGTGCCGTTTCCAGCTGTGACCATCTGTGATTTAAACTTAATTTCTCGTAGAGCGGCGGACACCTTCGTAAGCAATCTGTAAGGAAGTATTGTCTTATTATTTCGGCTAATGGTGGTAAAAAACTATAAAGCTCTTAAAATTAAATTACTTAAACCCCTTTCCAGTCATTTCAACGTTTTGTATAAGTCAAGATAGCTCAACTTTTATCGCTCGCCGTAAATTTGATAGTATGCTAGCCACTAGAGTTTGATCGCCACCGGTACCTTAAAAAAACCGTTAACCCCACACTAGGATCTTCGCCAATATCGAAGACACCACCGGAAAAACCCAAAAAAGCAGAGAGATCGCCTCGAAGACAAAGCCGCGAGATATCCTCCCTGAGACAGATGATGCTGTAAGAGTCGCATAGACTAACAGCACTAACATCTAGATAATAGTAGTACAAATATATGTTTCGCCCTCAGGGTCGCAAGTCAATGATAAGCCAATGAGTCACAGAGCAGCCATGGAATTTACTTGCAATTTTAAGAACTGCTTTACAACGTGGTCGGTAGTGTAGTTCTCTACATCGTAAAGAAATTGACTTGTCTGAGAAATAAAATGCTTGGTTATCACTGAGGACTAATATGGAATGCCTTACAATTTGTAATTGTACTAGCTCTCTATATACTTCGGACTGGAACAAAGCAATGCACGCGTTACGGCTTGGCGGCAGAAATAGGTCAGAGGATGGTAAGAGCTGCTGGGTAGGTTAAACAACCTCTGCGTCTATTGCAGATGATTCAAGCAGTGTGTGGCTGGTGAAATTTCTTTTGGTGACTATAAAGACCGTTGTGGGAGCAGCAAGAATGTCCACACCTTGCGCTAGCGTGTAATACGATTGTAAGGGTGGAATAAAGTCGCAAGTCGGTAATATTAATAGGTAAATTGGTGGTTTCCAACTCAGGGAAACTCCCGGACAGAAAAAAAAATCCCTACAAACTTCTAAATGAAATAATGGGATGAAAGTGAAAAAAGATCAATGTTAATTTACTAGTTGGCGGAACTTAGTTATGTATAAGCGTTCGACTTGGTTAGAATCACCCGTTTACCTATACAACATATAACAAAAAACTCGGTAATCCTTTCAGGGACGTATAAGATGTGTAGGACGTATAGATTTTTGTTTGGTCATTATTAAAGAGAAATTCCCTTTAATAAGTGTTTACAAGAGTACTTACTTGAATAAATCTTGTGAAAAATGTTATTCATATCTGAACCAATAGAGACTGCGCGAATCGATAATGCGCGATCTTTGACAATGCTCTTACTCCCCGGCCGATGCAGAGGTAATAAATGCTCATAGAATTTGCAAATAAAAATTTAAAATTTTTGTTTGATCATTATTAAAGAAAAATTCCTTTTAATAAGTGTTGACAATAACACTTACTCGAATAAATCTTGTGAAAAAATGTTATTCATATCTGAACCAATAGAGACTGCGCGCATCGATAATGCGGGGTCTTTGACAATACTCTTACTGCCCGGCCGATGCAGAGGTAATGCTCATAGAAATTGCGAATAAAATTTTATTTATATTTACCGTTACAGTCTATTAAGGACCACTGCGGAACATAGGCCTCTCCCATAGATTGCCTCATAGGGAGGACATTTGCCATAGCTGCCACGTTTAGCAAGCGGGTTGGCAACCGCAGTTTTTTATTATTTAGTTTATTAGGAAGACGCTGCTGTCCAGCTCCTGATTTGTTTCCCTCTGTCACATATTCCGACACCCACGGTTACGACATAGGGTAGTGCATAGTCACCGCCACATAATTTATAGGCTTAATGCTTATTCATTATTATTTAATTTTTTACGGTCGAGGTTTCAGAAGTAAAGTTATAACTATATGTATGAACACTGATTCTGATAACGCACTGAACTGGAATCACAGGGTGTTTGTTAAATGTTGTTATTTGCTTTGCGTCCAAAGTTGTGTTGTTATTACGGTTTGTAAAATAAGAAAATGAGTATAATCACCGGTTTCGATGATTGATAATGAATGAATTTAATCACCAATTTCATCTTACGTACACGTTGTGACATAAAGATATTTCGTAATTTTTTAGGTCTCTACCAGCTGAAATAAACCAAGACATTGTCTTGAAAGCGTTGAGTTTAGCTCCACTAATTCATACCTCCATCGTTGTTACACGTGAACAGAAAAAAGACCTACTAATGCTGCAAGACATTTTGGATTTAAATAAAATTACTATTGATTCATTATTTCATCAGGTAAGTTTTCATGTAATAATAATATAAAGTATAGTTTGTACTTTTAAGCGATCTGTGGCAATTAATTTTAAATTTCCAGATTTATAATTTTTTGAAGTAAAACTTCTTCACGCTCGCTTGATTTGGGGAGTAAGGTGGCGAATGAGTTGCGGAAAGTATGATCGGGCGAGGCGAAAGGGAGTTGAGTGGGGGGGGGGATATAAGCAAGCGAGAGCAGTGCGTGCGCAAATTTTCTTCCTCTCTTTCTCTCATAGCAAGTTATTTTTCGTAATTTTATTTCGATTTGAACAACTTTATGAATTAATATTTTGCTCAATACTATAAATATTCTACGTTTAAAGTAAATAAAATTGTAAATTCATTTTAAAGTTCATTTATTGTGAATTTTTGGGTGAATAATAACAAATTATGGAAGGATAAGGCCGATAATAAATTTAAATATTTGTAGAAAATTAAAAAAAAAAAAAAAAAATATATATATATTAGTGCTAGAGTACTACCGGCGAGGGCATTGCGTTATTCAAGTAACCTTGCGCTTATGTGCGTGCGTTGGAAAATGTTTGTATGATACTTCCGCACTCTCGCTAACTATGATAAAAGACAGCGTGTTTATATTCTTCACCTCATCGAGATGACCTTACCATAAACGACATTCTAAATGTCTGTATTTTCGAAATCCTTTCGATTTATATATTCATTAATACTAATAATAGTCTTCAATTTTATATTAGCGTAGCGATAGTTGCGTGGCACCGTGTAACGGCGGTGTTAAATTAATTCCATCCCGTGCGTGTCATAAGAAGCGACAGAGGAAAACGAATCAGGAGATGGACAGCAGCCTTTTCAGTTTATTATTTTTAGTTTTTATTAGGAAGTAACGACTAAAAATAATAAACTGCGATTGCCAACACATTTGCCAAGCGTGGCAACTATGACAAATATCCCCCTATGAGGCAATCTATTTGGGAGGTCAATGATCAGCAGTGGGCTAATAGGTTTTGACGGTAACGTAGTAGTAGTTGGAATTAATTAAATGCCCACAATTGCTACAATATTGTATTCATCGGTTCTATTTATGATTATAATTCAATTTTAGTTATCACCGGCATCGTCGTGCAACAACTTGCTACACCGCTGCATGTGGAAGAATACACTTTATGGATGCGATCAACTATTCCAACAAATATTTACGCCATTGAGTATTTGCTGTACCTTCAACTATTACGCCGTGGACGTATTAGAAGCCGGTTATAAATCGTACGTAAACATTTAACTTGTTAATGGCGTTTCATGTGCGGTGTGAATTCGAATACAAGCTATTACTATATGGGGATATGTCGCGCGCATCCGTAGGCTTCAACCACTTAATCTTAGGACCACCCTACTTGTATCCCCCGGGTAACACAGTAGAAATGCAGACTGCGACTTCACGATGCGCCTAGCGACCTCGCGATGCGTCGGCGATGGCGCGCTGCGTCTTGCGAAATCACTGGCCTCTTCAAAGATCGTCGCGTCGCGTCTCGGTGTGAACCAACTCTAAGTTTACACCGAGTTGTGTGTTTTTCAATAATCTGGCCACTATCAAGATCCTTGTTATTTAGTCGTAGAATTTTAGACGGCTGTGTTCCTTTCTTATTGTTTAAAATTCTACGGATTACCTTTTATTTGTTAGACCTTTGTTTCACAATGTTTACCTTAACCGTTGAGTACATGGTAAAACCGATTTTCTAGTTGGAAGGCTTAAGAGAGCCAGCAAGAGTCACCCAAAATGTAAGCTAATTCGGGAAAGAATGGCTGATTGTGTTTCATGAAAAATATTTGTAAATACAATATATATTACATTCATTCGTTATTTCCAGTAACCTCAACTACTTGCCGAATCCACGTCGTGTTGCATCGTGCGGTTATGGGACTGCCCTTACAGTAATGATTCACATTGACACCGAGGATTACTTTAGTACCAGTGTACCATCTAGTGGCGCAGTGGTGAGAAGTTCAAATTATTAAATTATACCGAAATTATTTTTTGTAAAAACATTAGTATTTATTTAATAACGAAATAAGCATTGAATAAAACTAAATTTACGGATTTGATCGCGTTTAGTTAACTGGTTTTACTTATATTTAATTCCCGACGTTTCGGGTGCTTTACAGCACCCATGGTCACATTAATATTAAAAAACTGAAGGTAGCCGGGCTAACTATGACATTGGGACGTCAAACATCTCGGACCCCCCGTGACCATGAGTGCTGTAAAACAGCCGAAACGTCGGGAATTAAAAATAAGTAAAATCAGTTAAATAAACGCGATCAAATCCGTAAATTTAGTTTTATTCAATGTGTAGTGTTCGCGTAAATTTAAGAAATCATTAAATGAAATAAGGATATAAAAACGAACTTGAGGAATATTTTTAATCTGTGATTACTTTTTAAATGTAGGTATTTCAAAAGCTTTGCGATGATACTGGAAAACCTTGTGATGGTAATATGCAATGGTAATATGTATGTTGAAAAGCTTTAAGGAAATTTCACAAACTCTTTAAAGCATAATTATTGTTTAAATAACAATATAACGACGTAACATCGTTTATCTCTTATTCTCGTCATTAGTATTTTAATCGAATGTATCGTATTTTTTAAGCAAGGTTTAGTCGAAACCAGTAACGCTGGCGTCAGGTCTCAGACAAGCCAGCGCTGGCCTGGCCCGTGTTGTTTAGACGAGGCCAAATGGATTCATATAATTCCTAGATTATTCTTGTAAATCGTTGTATTAAATTAATGATTTTTTAAACTAACAGAAAAATAATGTATCTAATATAGGAATTTGTACAATATCACTAGAATTTTTTTATATTACAAATTATTTATCCTGGCGCGGGGGTTGCGGGGCACGCGGGCGGAGGTCATTGGCTTGAAAAATAGGCAGGTGCTCTATTCCCGCCAGTGCTGGCAGTTAGCGCTGACTTCTCTTTAAAAACTGTCTATACGAGGCCAATAACAAGCCAGCGCTGGCGGCCACCAACACTAGCTTCGTCTAAACCTTGCTTTAGATTTTTATTTGGTAATACTTGCTTAAATTGATAGCTCTGAGAAGTTTTGGCAGGAACTTGACCAACGACGGATCATTGCTGCTGCAATATCGTTAAAATAATGGTGTGATGTGAAATTTGATAAGTAAATGTGGCTTATTAAATATCTGCCCTTAGGAACTATTATGAAGAAGAATATACAAAAAAATTAAGATTATTTATATTTGTATTTTTATTCCGATATCTTTTTTAACGGCCGCCTCAGCATATTATGAAAAATTTTCTGAAAAAAATTTATGAACATGAAAAATGATACATATATCAATACTGCCATTATTATTTATCTCACATATTTACAGTTGCACATATTTTATTTATTGAACAGTATGGAAGTACCCATTATATTGGCCGTACAGTGGTGGACCGCCAAGCATCCAGATGGTGTGGATGGTATCGGGAGGTTTGATGCGTAGTGCGTTCATGAAATTTGGCGGCTGGGATTAATCTGAACAATTTCTCAGAGCACTCCCCGTGGTATATGCGATAGAAAATGCAAAGAGATGCAACATCTGTTCGCAGCGCCAGTGCATCGAGCCGATCGGAAAGCACTCGGTGGTCAAAGATTCGAGCCACTCTGCGCTGGATGCGGTTAAGTAGAAGGAGCTGGCACTGGGCAGCCCCAGCCCAGAGACGGAAATAGTATTCCATGTGAGGCCGAACATACGCCTTGCAGGCGATGTGCTGTCATGAAATACTGTCCTGCTCTGCTGAGCACGCCAAGCTTTTTAGAGGCCAATTTGGTCTTCTTTTCCAAGTGACCATGAAACTGCACGTCACTCGATATGTCGACGCCGATGATTCCGCTGCTGGCTGAGGCAACAAGGGGAGTGCCTTGTAACTGAGGAGATACGACGAAATGGTTTTTTTTAGTGGTAAACTTGTGTCTTCTGAGAATTAAGCTGGACTACATTTAGTCATTCCGAATCCGACACTTTGTTCAGCAAAAACGACTTCAGAAACAAGTTTGTCCCGATATTGGGCAACGTTTTCCCGAGAAATATTGGCACGGTCCTTATGGAACGTCAGCATTAATAGGCTTCTAATCAGAGCACGCATCGTCTACAACGACCTTGATGTTCCGATCTGCAAGAAAGCTGGTAATCCAATCGCACAATTTCTCGGGAAGCCTTTCTCTGGAAGGGAGCTTCGAAAGAAGCGCTTTGTGCCAAAACCGATCTAAGGCCTTCGCATTGCCAAAACTAACGGCCATCCGTCCATCGATGAGTCAGGTAGACCAGAAGATCACCAGCTGATCGACCGCGATGAAAACCGTATTGGCGGTCACTAATCAGCTGGTGATCCTCAAGGTACCGCATGAGCTAGCAGTTCATAATGGATTCCATTATTTTGGAGAACAGGAAAGTGATGGCGATAGGCCTGTAGTTTGACGGATCTGAGCGGTTGCCTTTTTTAGGGATCGGGTGGATGAAAGCCGTCTTCCGTGATTTTGGGACTACGCCTAAGGAGTAGGAGTACGGGAAAAAACGCTTTAGAACCGGTGCCAACTCTGGAGCACACATCCTCAGCATAGTTTGAGGGATTCCTCGAGAGAGTCGAGTTGGACGCAAAGAAAGAGCCTAGCATATAAGGTTTTTTTCCTTTACGGCATGGGCCAATGAGTCGTCCTCCCTGTGTAGAGATGGAAGAGATGGCTGACAGAAATTCCCTCGGACAACCTTGGCGAGAGACCAGAATTCACGGCTTCCAGAAGGAAGTTTCTCGCCAATTCTGCCTATTTGCTATGACTTTGCCTTGGCAATGACTCTTTTGAAGTGGTCGATGAGTCGGTCTGTTTCGGTATTACCGCTATGGGACCTATAGAGGCACCCTTAGACGCGGGAATGGTAGTCGCTGCCTACGCGTAGCCAAATGATGGACGGATCCGAACCTTCAAGACTGTCGAGGCGTCGAGAACAGAAGTCCTCTCTGACGTACATAAACAAATAAAATACATAAACTCCAGCCCAAGGTACTAAGGAGAGTTCGACGGCTCCGTGGCGCAATGGCTTAGTAATTAGTTACAGAGCTAAGGGCCGCGGGTTCGAATCCCGCACGGAACAAGTATTTGTATGGCCTATAACTAATTGTTCCGGGTCTGGATGTTTTTCCTTGTGAAATGTATGTTTGTAAACTGCCCTCACGATACAGGAAAAAATCCTAGTGTGGAGGTGACGTTTTACATTAAAAAAAAAGAATTCCAGTTTGTACCCCGGGTAGGAGAGATACAAAAGGACACCTGCGTCTGAGTCAGAAAGAGTAGAGCCGGCTTCGCCGTCTCGAGGTGGTAGTGGACGGCGTTTAGGTTAGAATGAAGTCCCCTGATATTGCAGAAATTCACTGATAGCGTGGCAGGGGTCGCCTTGGTCTTGTTGCTCATCTCGCCCCGAGCATTATTGTCTTGAGCGAAATAGCTCAGGCATTTTCTTTATCAAACTAACAAAACTATCAAAATTCATAAATTGTAAGCACCAAATATATTTGTACCGAAAAGGTGAGTCGGATTAAAAGAGAAACTTATTTGTCAAAATATAATTTAAAATTTTTTTTGAGGCAATACTAATACTTTTTCTACGCGTTATTTATGAACAACACTGGGACGGTAGTCTATTATATGTATCTCTTGTGCAGTTGACATCCATTATCATTTCAATACAGCCAATAAAAGTTCACTGTTGTACATTCTCAACAGTCTTTTCTTTTGCCTCAACGAGTTATGCCACAAAGAATAGTATTGAGCCACTTCATCCATAGATTTCTTGCATCTCATACCAGGTTACTCCTTACGGGTACGTGGCTACCATTCGAGAAACTATTTTCTCCACAGGTTATCGAAACTTCACGTTACTTTCACGTATTTATTCACGTGTATAATTTATATTTTATCAGTTAATCCAATATGACCGAAGTCAGTGATATCATTATTTTTCATTAGTTATCGTTATGACCGATCTTTGGAACATGCGTTGTACATATTTAAGACAGCTTGACATCAACAATTTGATAGTTTCAGGTTTACCTTTTTTATAGTTTCTTAACTTATTACAGATCAAATATTATGATTGACTCTTATAGTACTATTTGTGGTGATGGTTTTTTCCTGCCACTAAATGATGTATATAGGTAATCCAGAATAGAATATGCACCAATACATAAAAATGATTCATTTATTTATAAATTATTATTAATTTTTTTATAAATTAGGCGGAAGTCCATTGCTACCCACTGATATGTTTCCTTATGTCGCCTTATATTTACACCGCCTATAAACGGTTGGTCGGTAAACAAATTTATGATGTGCATATTATGCAACTTCTCTTGGGAAGGACCAACATCTCACAGAATACCAGCGTAAAAGAGCAGCTTAATGTTGCTGTGTTGCGGATTGTGAGTGTAGAGAACCGAAGACCCTTTTTTACTGGATACGAGGCATTCTATCTTTGTCCTCGGGGATGACAACGCATCTGCGTTTTGATTCTTAATTCGAGGATAAATGTAGATGTCTATGAACCACAGCATCCACTTACCATCAGATAGGTTGTGTGGTCGTTTGTCACCCTTATTATATAAAAAATGGGTGGAAGCTCATTAATTTACTTTTGCCCCCGTTGTTGTTTTTAAAATTATTTCGCTAATAAATAAAAAAAAAATATATCATTTTTGTTTAGGAAGTTTCATGCCAGGGCAGTTTACGGGGGGTTTGGTATGACTCATTTACCCGCTTTTTTAATCAATAGACCAATAGAGTATTGCAATAACTTAAATACAAATAAAATACTATTAATACTTAAATACAACAAAACACTTAAATATGACTCATTCAAAAAAAAAAACAACAGTAATTTTTTTAAAGCCCCACTATTAACTCATCTTAATCACACACCTTCTCTTCTTAGTCATAATATATTACTTTATCTACTAATAATAATCTAGAAGCCTTATGTGGTTAAAGATTATGTAAAATAAGTTGATAGGACAGGGTTGTGCTTTGGCTTTCTTATTTTAAATATAATGTTTGCAATTTGGTAATTTCATATGAAGACGATGCATAATGAAGTAAAGCAGAAAGTATTATTGTACTTGTATTCAAAATAGTAGTTGCAGCTGATATTTATATATAAAGGTTCTGAAAAAAAATCATTAGTGTATATAGAAGAAGTATGGCTTTACAAGTTATTAAATAAATTGATGTTTTGTATTTTAAGAACAATTTGGTATTCTTAAGATACTAGCATAACTAGAATAAGTTTGTTTGAAATATTTTTTATCCAAATCTAAAGAGATGATGGAAGCGGATGTTGGTCTTGGACATAATATAGTTTTCTTGATCTTAGTTTTCTCTTTCTTGATGGTAAGCTAACCTCTTAAACGACCTTCCAACAAACATCTGCGACCTTCATCTTCTGAATTTATTATCAACATTAACAACAATGACATGTCATAGTTTTGTAAATATGGAATTTAGTGTTTTTTTTTAAATTTAAAATAAGAACGTTAAACGAGCACACATCCCATCTGATGGTAAGTGGGTGCATTGGCCAATAGACACCTATATCTATCATCACGAAGTTTTGAACATATTTTTTTATTGATGCAACTATAACAAGTTGTACTAAAATGGTGCGTAAAATATTGTGATAAGATATACGTTGTATAAATAAAATTCGAGCATTATTCTAAGTATTATAAATATCTGAGAAACAGTGGGCGTGTCTAGTTGATGTAAGCGCCACACTTCTATTAGGTAAAAGTTGGTAGAATTGTAAGTGGGAATATGCAATTTTTTTAAGTCCAACATAACTTTTACGTGGTGCATTCTGCAGATTGACAGATAACGTTTTGGTAATCGACTTGCACTGAAAATTATATCAAATAAAATTATTTCCTAAATCTAAATTTCTAATTGAGAATAGTATATCGGCTCTGTGCTCATCAAACCAAAGATGCTGACGCATTATGCAAGCAATGACCAATGTGTCTACTACAATTGATGTAAAGATGCTAGTGTGGAATACTTGGTTTAGTTTCATTAATTATTCCCTTTTATTAAACAGGTACTTATCGACAACCCATACAACATGCCTAACTTGGATTCACCGATCTCCCTAGTAAGTCCATCAACAGAGGTCATGATAGGCCTTTCTCCAGAACGCACATACACCACACCTGGAGTCAAGTCTTTTAGTCCAGGCGAGAGGCAGTGCTACTACTATGACGAGGTAAATATTTTTCTATATGTTCATAGAAAGGTATTCTAATAATGTCAGGTAAAAATTAATTAATTTTACAATACACAAATACAAAATGTATTTATTTCCATATGCAGTGTAATTATACATTTTTTGTAATAGTCTTGATTCTTCATTCTCAGACCTAGCAATGGTTTATTTATTTGTCTGTGGCCTCGAAGCGAGCTAGTCTCGTGGGTATCGACAACAAAGCTTTCTAGCAAGTCAGATTAGATAGTAAGGCAATGTGCATGTCCGTGCATTAGTTGTGTATATAAATTATAAATTACATGCAATTAATTTATGAAGAATTAAAATAAACCAATAAATAATGCAAATTATTTGAAGTTACTAAATATATAATAAAATATACATACACAAATAAAAATAGGGTGTAACATGTGAACGAAATAGAAGCCTATGGCACTGATATTTTACAAGTAATAACAACAAAATTTTGAAATAAATAAATAAATTATTAAAAAACCCACACCATACTTTACGAACAGCAATAACATAATAAATTTAACAGGCATCTTTGACCTTGTTACTGCCACACAAACACAGCAAAGGCAAATAATAGTTCAAAAAACTTTTCAAATGTTTTATTCAAAATTTTATTTTTTTGTAAAATATCACTGCCATAGGCTTCTACTCCGTTTACATGTTCACACCCTATTTTTTCCCAGACGGTAAAAAAGGTCATCCAGTAAATATAAATACACACACAGACACACACACACACACACACACATAATATATATATATATATATATATATATATATATATATATATATATATATATATATATATAAACTGCTCAATACAAAATAGAGCCTACCATCATTAGTTTTTATTTTTTATCTTAGGATAACTTAAGAGGTAATGTAAATAAAAAATAATATCAAAAAAAGTTAAAAAACTGCAGCTAGAGCAGTTGCACTGCTTCAGGGAGGAGAGTCTCAGAGATATGTAGCAGTATGTGTCGCCGCTTTGTCAGGTTAACTGCACGTAGGGAGCGTACCGTAACCGCGCGGGCCTTACAAACCCGACTGCGGCAAACTACTGGTACACATGACAGTGATCAAACCATTTGTAATCGACTCCACGAAGATGAGCAACGTTCCAGAGTACGTGCTGTTCGACTCAAACAACAAGGGATCATCGTGTAGCTCGTCCCAAGTTATGCTCGCGACCGGACCAAGAATAACTGGAGCATGGTACTCTTCACAGATGAATGTAAGGTCAAGTTTTACAGTAATTATAAAAGAATACACGTGTGGAGAAAACGAGGCGTACGATTTACAGAACCCTGCCATGGAACAAGTCCGGAGGTCCAAGTGTTATGGTGTGGTTTGAGTAAGCCTAGTAGGCAAGACAGAGCTGGTAATTCTGGATGATGGTTCTGTAACAGCTACGAGTAAGTAATCCGACTTCATGTCATTCAATTTTCACAAAGAGTAGGTGCTGGTTTCGTGTTAATGCAAGACAATGCTCGTCCACATATAGCCCGTAGCACACAAAGAACACTTTCTGATGCCAGAATCACAGTTTTGCAATGGCCTGCTGTAAGTCCCGACCTCAATCTCATTTATGGGATCAACTGAAACGAAGCCTAAAAGACAACTACAATCGGGTGAATAGTCGACAGGAACTCATAAACGCGCTAAAAGTCATTTGGAAACGAATACCGGAAGAAATTGTTACCAATTTCATCGAAAGTGTACCAGATAGGTTTAGAGAGTGCACAGAGGTTGTCCCACTGTCGCTACTAAGCATAGCATACGCAAGCAAGCACGCGAGCTCTAATTATCATAAAAAAAGAGATGTGTTAAGTATTTCCTTTTCATAATGATTTCTTATATTTACGCGAACACTACACATTGATTAAAACTACTTTTACGGATTTTATCGCGTTTAATTTTTATTTAATTATTTTTATTTTTAATTCCCGACGTTTCGGGTACTTTCCAGCACCCATGGTCACGGGCGACTGAGGTGACTGACGTCCCGATGTCATTATTAAGCCCGGAGTACCTTCAGCTTTTTTAATTATTGTTTATGGTCCGATCTATGCAAAATGAACTGATTACGTCCTGAGGTCTTGCAGTGTTATGCTTGGGTTTAGTTTTAATTTTATTGATTATAGGGTCCCAAGCAGGTGGTAATATCCAGCCTCCTTCCCTTTTGAAATTAGGATGTTATTTGATTTCAATAGCCTCACGTATCATCCTTGGTAGGTATCGCTGTTCTTTCGCGAGGATTTGTGGTCTATCAAATCTGATGTAATGGTTGGGGCCGTCTAGGATATGATCACAAACTGCAGACTTCCCGGAACGTTGATGCTTCACATGAGCTATATGTTCTTTTACGCGGATTATAATTTATCTTTTGATTTGTTCTATATAAGAGAGACCACATTCACAATCAAGCTTCTACACTCCTGCATCTTGTAGAGGAATATGACACTTGCCGGATGGTAAGAACTGACTAATCTTCTTCGGCGGCTTGTAGAATGTTCTAATAGAAGCTCGCTTCAAGATGTAGCCAATATTGTCTGTGACACCTCTGACATATGGTAGTACAGCAGGCACATGCTCTACTGTGGCCGGCTTCACTCGGTCGGTGTGACGTAGGCGCGGGACCCGAAGCTTGTTGTCGTGCAGAACTTGCTTGACGTGCTGAAGCTCGGCGGCCAGGTGTTTGCTGTTGTCACTGATCCCTCGTGCTCTCTGAAACAAAGATTTGCCCACGGTAGCTAACTTTGAAGGATGGTGGTGAGATTTACCGTTTAAATATCGGTTTGTATGGGTCTTTTTTCCATACACAGTGTGACCTATGTTGTTGTTAGGAAGGGAATTAAAATTAAAAATAATTAAATGTAAAATAAAACGCGATAAAATCCGTAAAAGTAGTTTTAATCAATATTTGTTTTTCGTTATTTTGGTGCAATTTCCTTAAAGTTGGTTTAAACACACACGTATTTAATTAAACAAATGAATAACTTATAATATTGATTGTCTTAAACATAAAAACTGTTTAATGACCTAAAAACGCGGTGGGGACTATTTTGTTTTATTTCATTTTCATGTTGGTTATATCTAATACAAGGTATCTGTACCCCAACTACATTTACATATTTGAGGTGAGGGATATGATGCGGTATAATTAAAAAATTTATGTCAAGGATTGTCTCAGTTTCTTCGAACTACTCACTAACTAAATATTAAATAATACAAAACCTTGAAATAATGCAAGATAAAAAATATATCCGGGGTCGTGATAGGATAACTTTACACTAAGACATGCAGTCGATATAATCTATTGATAAAAGTATGATTGTTAATCTTTTTTATAATCTTGTCTTAAATAAAATATGTGATATCTCAATAATATCAATTCAATAAATGTCTTGGTATAACGTATATTATTACGCCGAAATTTACTTTTTGACATAAGTGAGTTCGTTTTTAAGAATAACGGTGACAGACAAGCACACAGTCCACCAGATGGTAAATGGATGCTGTTGCTTATAGACATTTATATCTAGCCTAGATTAGAAATCAAAATGCAAGTGCGTTGGTATTGGACAGAGTGCCTTGTTTCCAGTTAAAGTTGTCACTTCATTCACCATATGAAAAACACCAACATTAATCTGCTATTTGACGTTGGTATTCTGTGAGAGCATGGTCCTTCAACTGTCTATCAATCTACAACCATAATATAGCATGGATCCACAAAACTAATATGAAATAATTTTACATCAAAAGGATCAAATTCGCGATATACAAGTGTTCACGCAAATACAAGAAATCATTATTAAAGTTGTGCCAAGTTCAGAGTAGGTACTATCAATCGACAACCATGTGTGCGTACGTACACTATATACGGTACGGTACAATATATGGGATGGAAAGAAACGAGAGTGGTACGTCAGGATCATACCAGATAGAAGTCCTTAGTCTTTGTCTATTCACGTGGGTGACAGGCGTTAAAGTTTATTTATGTACGTATGTGTTTAAGTAAAAGATGCTGATGAGTGAATATAATATATGAATCAATAAATCCACAGTTATTCTGCTGGATTTAAATATCTAGCCTTTAAGAACCTAACGTTCTGATAGATATGAGAACACTATTCACAACAAGCTAGTGGTGAGTAATTTGATGCTACCAATTTTTCGAACGAGTTATTATTAAGTCATATTGAGTTATTATTAATTCGATGTGTAAAGAATCTTCTTTACGCTAATGACCTGCAAATTTATACGCAAGCAGGTGTAGGTGTTAACTTTTTAAGTAACGCCAGACTTAATATGGGTATAACAAACCTCCACAATTGACCTCGTAAATTTGGTATTAGTGTAAACCCCAATAAATGCCAAGCTATAATAGTTAATAGTGTACAGCAATTGCCTCAGCTTGACGCCAGTTGCGTTACGTCTGTTACGTTAGATAATTCTATCATACCGTACTCTGATATAGTTAAAAATCTAGAGGTGTATGCTGTGTTGTTAACACTATCTTATGTTAGTCCATCCAAATTCAGAATATTAGTGGTTCTGTTTTTGCTAAGCTCAGTGCTTTGAACTGTTTTAGGACCTTTCTTCTAATCAAAGTAAAGATGACTCTGGTGCAATCTCGTATGTTTTTCATTATTCATTATAGTGATGTATGTTTTCCTGATCCTAAGGAGGTTTTCCTCGAAAAGGTGGATTATATAGTCTATTTTTTTTTGGATAACCACTGTCCGAATTATCCGAAACATAAGTTCAAGTTTCTGAGCGATACTTATGACAAACAGCTTCGTTCATCGGCTACTCATCGTCAAGCCGTACGCATATGGCATATGGACCTGCCTGAAAAGTTAAGAAAACCTACCTGCAAACAAACGTTTAAGTCCGGGCGCATTTACTAAAACTGTAGCGTTACTCTATCAAGTCAAAAATCTGAAATAAACATCACAATGAAGGTTTTGTTTGGTAACATT